AAAAAAAAAAAAAAAAGGCTAACTGTTGTATAATTCAATTTATATGAACTGTCTAGGTAAAGTCATAGAGTCAAAAAGTTGATTAATGGTTGTCAGGGGCTGCCAAGAAGGAAGAATGGAGTCTAGGGTTTCTTTTAGACATGATGAAAATGTTGATTAAAACTGATCGTGATAGGGGCGCCTGGGTGGCTCAGTCGGTTGAGCATCCAACTTCGGCTCAGGGCATGATCTCACGGTCCGTGAGTTCGAGCCCCGCGTTGAGCTCTATGCTGACAGCTCAGAGCCTGGAGCTGCTTCGGATTCTGTGTCTCCCTCTCTCTGACCCTCCCCTGTTCACACTCTGTCTCTCAATAATAAATAAATGTTTAAAAAAATTAAAAAAAAAAACTGATCGTGATAACAGTTGCACAACTCCATGCATGTACTAAAATCTACTGAATTGTACATTTTAAGTGGTTAAGTTTTATGGTATGTGATTTATATCTTAATCTGTTATTTTTTAAAAATGGATCTAGTTGTTCCAGTTCTAAAATTAATCTTACAGAAATATTTGTACAAGTGCATATAAGTGAAAAACAAGGTTTTCAAAAACACAATATTGTTATATTTTAATTTTGTATATCTAATTTGTCTCTGTCTAGAAAATGGTTTTTTAAAGATACATACCAGTCTGTTAACTGTGATTAACAGTTAACACTTCTAGGGAGTGATACTAGATTTTTTGTGGGCAGATAGAGATTATTTACTTTTTATTTGATACAGTCCTGTGCTATTTGAACTTTTTACAACAGGAATGTATTACTATATTATATAAGAAAAAATGAATTTAAATATCGGTCATGACTGAATTTTTGTGGTTTCCTTCTCATGTTATTCAGTTGATAGTGACTAGCCTATACATATTTACTTTTTCCTTTAATCCACATTATAAATTAAATCCCAGGTTTATAGGTGAGCTAAATATAATTTATTTTATAAATTGGTGAGATTTAAAAAGAAAATGGTAGCAAATAAAAAGTATTGATAAAAAACGAACAGGTCCTAAATTTATTCAGATCATTTGTTTACTGTGTTTAACTGCAACATTGCTTTGGCAGGGGGCAGTAAAAGGAGTCACCTCTGCATAATTTAAAAATATGTCTACCAGAATCATTTAACTGAAAAAAAATGGTTTCATGTCATGTTTCAATGTGCTTTTTAACAAATTAGATTACTGCCTTTCAGGTTTCTCAGGACCATGAAACGATGGCACAGGTTTTGTTCAGCAGGAATTTGAGATTGAATGTAGCTTTAACGTTCTGGAGAAAGAGAAGTATAAGTGAACTTGTAGCCTATTTGGTGAGGTAAGTGTGACCTTTTATGCTTTTGTTCAGTTAAAGCAATTTCCAGTGTTTTGTCTTGAAGTGTCTCTTTCTTATGTTATACTGGGTAAAATTTTAAACTTCTTATATTTAGCTTCACTAGTAACAATATAGTTTAAATTACATTTATCACCAATCTAAGAGTAAACAAAATACAGAAAACCATTGGTTTCATCATATTGAACAAAACTATTACCTTCTCTAAAATTTTTACAATATAAAACTAAGAGATACCAGTATGGGGAGAATAACTTTTTAAAAATCCCCTTTGAGCGGGGCGCCTGGGTGGCTCAGTCAGTTAAGCGTCTGACTTCAGCTCAGGTCATGATCTCGCGGTTCATGAGTTCGAGCCCTGTGTCAGGCTCTGTGCTGTCAGCTCTGAGCCTGGAGCCTGCTTCTGATTCTGTGTCTCCCTCTCTCTCTGCCCCTCCCCTGCTTGCACTCTGTCTCTCTCTGTCTCTCAAAAATAAATAAAAACTTCAAAAAATTAAAAAAAAAAAGTCCCCTTTGAGCGAAAACTTTAATCATGGCCTTCTTCAGTGTATTCAAGTCTCTTCTCAAACAGTACCTTAATGAGGCCTTCCCTGACCACCTTATTAAAAAACATTTCTTGGGGCGTCTGGATGGCTCAGTTGGTTGAGTGTCCGACTTCAGCTCAGGTTATGATCTCACAGTTCGAGGGTTCAAGCCTCTCACTGGACTCAGGGCTGACAGCTTGGAGCCTAGAGCCTGCTTTGGATTCTGTGTTTCCCTCTCTCTCTGCCCCTCCCCTGCTCTCGCTCGCTCTCTCTCTCTCTCTCAAAAATAAATAAACATTAAAAATATATACATTTCTTCACTCCCAATCTTTCTGGTTTTATTTTTTTTCCATAGCACTTACTACTATCAACATGCTGTATATATTTTACTTGTTTGTTTATTGTCTGTTTCTGCCCTCTCCCACATCCTACTCTGAAATACATGTCCTTTCTCTTTGTTTACTGCTGTATCCCCAGCACCTGGCTCATCAGAGAGACTCAGATCATTTGTTGAATGAGTAAATTTCTCAAAAGCAGTGTGAAGGGTATAAACAAGGAAATCTGTTCTCTAAGCAGTTTTGTACCCACAGGATAGAAGATCTTGGAGTTGTCGTGGATTGCCTTCCTGTGCTCACCAATAGGTAAAAATAATATTTTTCAGAAAAAAAAGTAAGTTTAAATAGAAGGGCAGATGACCTGTTCATATTTTTACAACTTAGTATTTATTTTAGTTTACAGGAGGAAAAACAGTACATCTCACTTGGCTGCTGTGTAGATTTGTTGCCTCTAGTCAAGTCCTTACTTAAAAGCAAATTCGAAGAGTAAGTGCTAATCTCTCAATTCACTTTTCTCTTTCAACATCCTTGATTTTGTTTCTTGCGTGTATATAGTGATAGATTGAGCTACATGAGACATGAATGGTGTCTGTTTTCAGAGAGCTTTTAATCAGGAAAAGAACATGAGATGACTGAAGAATAATTACAAAAGCATCTATAAACAACTTACATAAAATACAGCTTTTGAAAGCAGCAAAATAAATTTTTTAAAGGGGAAAGTGTGTGTGTGTGTGTGTGTGTGTGTGTGTGTGTGTTTTGAAGTGGGGGGAGTGTATCTTTTTTGGTAAAAGCTTCTTGGGTGAAAGCACTTGAATTTTGTAACAAAATGTCATTTCAGATATATAATAGTTGGTTTAAACTGGCTTCAAGCAGTCATAAAAAGGTGGTGGTCAGAACTATCATCCAAAACAGAAATTATAAATGATGGGTGAGTATATCTTTAAAAATAAATTCTGGCTACTAAAAATTTTTTCAGAAAAGCAGTTTGATTAAGCTAGGTGATAATTCTATTCCATGATCACCATTAAATAATAATTTATTTTCTTCGTTTTCAGAGAAATAATAAATTGGAATAGTGTTCACATGTGAAAATTACATATGGAAGTTGAATTCCAGAGCCCAGTAACCCCATGTATCTCTTTTTCTGGCAGAACCTTACATGTAATTTTAGGAGGAAAAAGCAAAGCAGTGATTTAACCCTCATATCTGTTATAATGAGTAAGGGAGGAAGAGAGAGAGAGCTTTTGGTGGATTAAGTATTGAGGCACAGAGATCGAAGCATCCTGTAGCGTCTTTTGACTACCTAGACATTAACCTGAAAATTCAGTTGGATGATTATGTACTATAATTATCATAATTTGAATATTGCCTTGATGTAAAATTCTTTGGGTGTTCTACCAAATGAGCCAGATTATCATGAAGCTGCAAAAAAATATCCCCCCAACAGTTTGATTAAAGTCCATAATTTTCTCTTTAGGCTCTCAAAAATTTCCTACTTCATACCCAGGAAGAGGTGGTCCAAATGCTCCAAGTACCTAGTTTTCTTTCCTGCTTTAACAAATAAGTAATCTTTTAATTTCCGTAACTAACAAGTATCATTGTAAAGAGTTGCTTGGCTTCAAACGGTACAATTTTCTCCGATAAATACTTGAAATCTGAAAAACCTGTGTTCATTAAGTATATTTACTAAATACGTATTCTTATATTTGGATTTTCTCTCTTTTTTTCCTCATAGAAATATTCAGATTTTAAAGCAGCAATTAAGTGGATTATGGGAACAGGAAAATCATCTTACTTTGGTTCCAGGATATACTGGTAACATAGCCAAGGTAATCAACATTTAAGCTTATAAAGTTAAGTTTGGGGAGGCTGGGTGGCTCAGCCGGTTCAGCCTCCAACTCTTGATTTCAGCTCAGGTTATGATCTCACAGTTTGTGGGTTCAAGCCCCACATCAGGTTCTGCACTGGCAGTGCGGAGCCTGCTTGGGATCCTCTCCCTTCCTCTCTGCACCCTCCCCTGCTTGAGCTCTCTCTCTCTCTCAAGATGGATAAACTTAAAAAAAAGTTAAGCTTAGGGGTGCCTGGGTGGCTGAGTCGGTTGAGCGTCCGATTCGGCTCAGGTCACGATCTCGCGGTCCGTGAGTTCGAGCCCCGCGTCAGGCTCTGGGCTGATGGCTCAGAGCCTGGAGCCTGCTTCCAATTCTGTGTCTCCCTCTCTCTCTGCCCCTCCCCCGTTCATGCTCTGTCTCTCTCTGTCTCAAAAATAAATAAATGTTAAAAAAAAAAAAATTTTTTTTTTAAAAAAAGTTAAGCTTAAAAATCTGTATTTAATCTTAATTAAATATTAGAAATGATGTATTAGTATTATGCATTCATAAATGATGTCTTTCAAATATCCAATACAATACTATTCAAATAAGGTCTAAAGTTAATTTCATATTTGTAAATGCTTAAGGTCATCTGGATATGAATATAACTTTGACAAGGGACACAGGAATTAGCCTTTCAGTGTGTTTCAGATACAGCTATGGAAATGATGCGCTAGAGGGAATTTAATGAACTAGTTCCAATTAGAGAAAAAGTTAACCCAAGTTAGCAAGGCATCTGAAAAGATAGTCACACACAGGAAGCAAGGGGTGAGGAATGTAATCATATGATTTCAGGCTTATTTTTTACTTGGTTTTTGCAAGTGTCCTGCTTTTGGGGAAATAAATGTTCCAATCACAATGAATTTGACATTGTTATTTATTTGCTTGTCTCTTTTTTTTTTTTCTTTTCTTTTTTTTTTTATTTGCTTGTCTCTTAAAGGGAAAGATATGTTGCTAGTTTGGATTTTAACATTTAAACTCCAGAAACCATTAGTAATTAAAATATAAGTGCAAAAAAGAAGTCACTGTTAAGAAATATTTGCACCTTTTACTGGGCATAGTGCTATCATAAATGGGCATTAGTCAAAAATATACAAGCATTCTTTAGTTAAAAAAAAATACAGTATTCTAAATAAGAGGAATTATGTTGTGGATTTACCTGTAAAATTCTCCTTGGATACCCTCAGAAAAGAAGCAAAATGATGTATCAAACAAGTGTGTTACCACTGTGTATAATTTTACTCTGTAGAATTCTTAATGATGAAAATCTCATAAAAATCAATTTTCCAGTTTTTTGTTGTTTTAGTTTGTTGTTCTTTTGATAATGGAAAAATGAAGTAAAAGTTGATAGAAAATGGAGTACTTACAGAACATACATCATATATCACCTTGTTCTGGAGGCACCTTGCATTCTTGGTAGTAGTACTGAAAAAATATTACCTCCTTAGAAATTTGCTTTCAATTAGAATTTTTTATAAAGAGAGAAGCTTTATCATAAATATAACTTTACAATACTGTATTTATTATTGAAGACAATATTGAGTGATTGAAAGCTCTGTGAAGTTCCTTACCCTATGATAAAACCTCTTTTACAATATTAAACTCTCCACTGTAATTTGTCAAGGGTGGGAATCAGAAAGGCTGTCATCACGCTGGCCTGTGGTTTATATGGTGCTGAAGAAATTGCTGGGAATGATTTAATGATCTTGCGTAGCTATAAAAGCAGAGTTGTTTGATCACAGGAACCAAACACTCAGCACTTAACAGACACTTATGGAGTATGTGCTGTGTGCCAGGCCCTGTGCTAAGCAAATGCAGCTAAAAGTTGAGTAAGACCCTTTTTTTTACCCTCAAAAGATCACAAAAGGAAGCTTAAGCAAATCAAGTGACAAAAAAAAGAGAATTGGATGTGTTTATATATATTTACTATACCTGCTAATGGAATGTTTTGTTTTTTTTTCCCTAAGGATGTAGATGCTTATTTATTGCAGTTGCATTGAGAGACTATCTACTAAAAAGAGCATTTGATTATTCAAAACGTCCCCAGACTAAGATTTCCAAAAAAAAGTCTCCTTTGAGAACTGTGAACTGTGGAAGAAATCAAAACTTTTTTTTTTTTTTTCTTAAAAAGCCACACGTGAAACCACTAATGAAACCCTAACAATCTGCTTCACATTGAAGTGGAAAAATGTACAAAAGGAGCAGCTTCAACTTCAATGAGGTGAAAGTGCACTATGAAGATTGTTCCCCTTTGCTGCATTTGGGACTTATATGGTTATTTGGTAACATTGTTTAAGAACTACTGGGTCTTAATGCAATACTGCATAAGAATATAATTTATACTGTGTCAGAAAGAAGACAGTACTTATCACTAGGAATCACAAAGACCAATCATCGTTACTTTTTTGAAGATTGTGTTTTATAAGAAAACACTTAAGTGTGTGCAGCTATTTTCTTATTTTGAAAAGACTTTGCAAGTTTAAAACGTCATAGAAAATAATCAGTACTAGAAATTTGTTGTCCACACTGAGATACTGTGTATACAAGATGCCTTAATTATTAATAAGCCAATGTGTATAATATGAATATCTGTTTAAAAAAGTAACATCAAACATGCTCTGGCATGATAAAATCATGGAATTAAATCAGGGGTTTCCATTCATGTAGAACGTTGTTGCTAAAACTTACTCCATACCATTTTTAAAACTTGAGAATATTTTTAGTATCTCTGATTTTTCTTTGCCAGAATCATTGTGTCATGTGTGTATGTGTTATTCCTATATAAAAGAAAAGGTGAATATGTATTTGTATGAATGCTTAACTAGAAATGTCCGTGGAGTTAGCTAATTTATATTCACTTTTTATTGTATATAGATTTCTAATATTTTCAGTTCTGTATCATTTAAGCTTTCTTCATTTGAGTAAATTCACTAAATATTTCTATTTTTTGCTTTTTTAAATTCTTTTATATGACTTCTAGTTCTTTTTCACTACTCATGTTTTAAAGAATTACATACAGTGCTTTAGAAATGTTTACAGTTAGTGCTGACCTTGTGTTTTAAATTCCAACACTTTACTACCTCCTCCAATGGTTGGTATGAAATGCCAGCAGACTGTATGAGGTCTTTTTTTCTTTTTTTAAGTATATATCTACCATTTTTAGTGTCAGTGAACCCACTTCTGGAATGTCTTAACAGCTATATATCGCATCTTGAAAGTGATTGGGGTTTAAATACCACTATTGGTGGTTCATGCATCATCTCATCTTTATAAGCCTGAGAGGCATCTGAGCAAAGATATTTAGTAATCGAATTTCTCTGCAGTAATCTTTCAAGCACTTGAATGTAAATCTTTAGCATTTATCCAGTTAGCCACTACTGATGTGAATTCCAAACAAATAACTTTTTTGCTTTAAAAATGTTATGTTTTACTGAATTCTCTATTTTTTGTGTAGCTGTATTTCATATAGCTATGCATTCCTCACAGTGAACATCCATTTTTGGTTATTTTCTTAAGTCTTTAGAATAATTTAAGATTACTGCATTTCTGTGATTTGAGAGTTGAGTTATTTAAGCATATTGTTTTTCAGGAGGTGGGAATTTGAATCGTACACCTGCGTCATCTCTGTAAAACCTTAAGATGATGAAATATAACCTTTCTTTGTTCCTATTCCTTTAGCTACCACTGTCTTATCTAACAGTTTGAACCAGTTAACTCAGTTGGAGCGTGGTGCTAAGGAGGCTAAAGACAGGAGTTCAGTCCTTTCATAGGTTCACTAACTTGGCACACTTACACAGATTCGTGGCTACGTATTGCAACTTCCTTAGGTATAGGTCTTTCAAATTCAGCTTTTAGTCACAAGGAAGATGGTGTGTATAGCTTAGCATCAACCTTTCACCTCAAATGGAAAGACAACTCAAATAATTGGTATATGTGATAGTATACACTTCTAATATTTAAAATAAACAATATTAATCATGTAATATTAATACTGTAATTATGTCACTATAATTTTCTGTGGGTAAGATCATTTTCTAAACACTATCTTGTAAAAATCAAATTTTAACAAATTAAAACATGGTAAGAGTAGGTGATATCCTGTTAACAGTGAGTTCTTGTGCCTAAGTTTGGGTTTGTTAAAGGAGAATAGAGAACACTTCATTTTATGTACTCGGAGCTATATAAGGCAACAGAGTCTTTAGCTCACAAATATTCAGTAGCACACACCCCTAATTTCTGTTCTTGGCCTTTACAGTTTTTGTTAGTACCTACCCTTCTCAGTTACTGAGTTATGATTAGTATTATTTTTACTACAGGTTTTAGATTTTTGGGTAAAAGATGTTAAATAAGTAAATATTGTTGAACACTTTGGTTGCTGTTAAGTTTTTCTCATGCTATTTAATCAGAACAGTGTTGATCTCCAGGAAGAGCCAAAGAAAATGTTTACAAAGTATTTTGGCTGTTGTATTGACCTAGATTAGGACAATTGGTGTCTGTCATTGCTCATTTGTTATTGTGCTGCTAAGAATTATACAGAACCGAGGGACTACCCAAGGTCTCTATGCCTTTTTACCTCTTCTACCTTCTTAGGTGTTCTGTACTTGATGTTGCTAACTTTGCAGGTCTAGGGACAGGAAGTGTATTTAGGTGATAGAGGGTTATAATCAAATAATTTGCTTCCACTAGGGATAAAGTGAATGGATTTTGTAATGAATGGTCATGATCAGAATAAGGGTTAAAAGTTGGGAAGCAAGCTTAATCAGATTTTTTTTTAAATTAATCTTTTGGCAGTAATTTCAAAAGTAATTGACACAGATTATTTACTTGAATCCTGAGATGTGAGGATTTGAACATACATACTGTATCCACTTTGGGGAATCAATAATATTAGCACTAAGCCCTCAGGGCTACTGGGGAATTAAATCTTAATGCCTTTAAACATTCTTGCTACTTGCTATGTCCTAATCTTAAAAATGGTCATGTGGATTCAGAGCTACCTTTCTGGCCTTGAAATAGTAATTTTCTCAAACTTAGAACATTTCTCTTTTTGGCAAGTTGTTAATTTAACTAACATTAATGGAAAACTAATTTGAGTAATGATTATTAGCTATTAAATGCTGATAATAGGAATCATATTTAAATATTTAATTTCTTAAATTAAAGAGTTTGACAAAGCAAAATTTAAGTTAATATTTTAGCCGTCATTCCCAGTTATCTTCCTGTTTAAGAACAAGGTGGGTAATGTCAGTTGCCTTTGTTGATTTAAAGAAAGAAAAAAAAATCACAAGCAGCTGACTTGATTGATACATTTGGATGCATTACTTATCTTTCAATACGTTTACTTTCTTGTTACTTCAAATGGAAATAGTATTGCTGGACATTTGTTGGCAGGTATTTACTCTTATTCTTCCTCCCTTAATTTCTAATTCTGACTATGAAAACTGTCATAAAATTTGTGACCAGCTATTCCCACTCATTTCTTATTCTGTAACAAGAATATAGAATAAAAAGTCCATCCCTGAACACTGTATTTCTAATTTGTAAGATAGCTTGATTGATTCAGTAACAGCACCAAGTATAACAATAAAAACAAACGCTGCATATTATATGCGCAGTATAATGAGTATATTTTCCAGTGCTGTACTTAAAATAATATTTAAAAATTTTTTTAATGTTTATTTATTTTTGAGAGAGAGACAGAACGTGAACAGGAGAGGGGCAGAGAGAGAGGGAGACAGATTCCAAAGCGGGTCTCCAGGCTCTGAGCTTCAGCACAGAGCCTGATGTGGGGCCTAAACTCACAAGCTGTGAGTTCATGACCTGAGCCGAAGTCAGATGCTTAACCAACTGAGCCACCCAGGCAGTCCTTAAAATATTATTTAAAATATTGTAGTCATGGGACGCCTGGGTGTCTCAGTCAGTTAAATGTCCAACTTCAGGTTATGATGTTGCAGTCTGTGAGTTCGAGCCCTGTGTGGGACTCTGTGTAGACAGCTCAGAACCTGGAGCCTGATTCGGATTCTGTGTCTCCCTCTCTCTCCCTCCTCTTCCCTCCCTCCCTTTCTCTTTCTCTCTCAAAAATAAATAAATATTAAAATATATATTAATTATACTCGTATTGTTCTCTGGGTCAGAGCATTGACCTAACAGCATCTGCTAAAATCAAACTTCAGTAAAAATTAAGTACAACAAACGAAATGTATATACCACAGTATTTTCTCTAATAGACTGTAATTAATTGTAAAACACAATTACTGTGTACCAATAGTTGTATGAAAGGGCAGCCCCAGACTGCCAGTATTTTTCGTAGCAAAGCTTGTTATATATTATTTCTTTGATAAACAGAATTACTGTTACCTAAACTGCAGAGTTTTCAAATGATAGATGCCAGGAGTCTAGATGAGGATCCAGCCCCAAGTACACTTGAACTAGTATTGATTTTTACTTATCCTTTACAATATTCTGTATTTTCATTCAGATTTAAACCAGGATTTTTTTTTTTAATGTTCTGAACCTGGCCAAGACTTTTGTCACTACAAATTTATACCAAGTCTGAGAGTAGTTATCAAAATATTTTCTAGGATAAGAAAGAGTTGTCAGTGGGACTCCTGGAGTACACTGAATTGCCAGAATTACTTGCTTCTAGAATTAACTGTGTTGTATTTATCAACCAAACCTGCAGCATGGAGCCTGGATCAGAATTAGACCTTACCTTCCAGAAGTCAGGAGGAAGTTTAGAAGAGGCCTATCTTTCCCCTTAGCCATCCAGATTCCTTTTCCTCTACTTAGATAAGAAATCAGTAAAGGGTACAACCAACTCACTTTTCAGTTTCTTCTTTTGAAGGCTCCTCTCCCTGTCCTTTAGGCATTGGTTGGTGTTCAAGGTTTTGTTTTAAGGTCTCTTCTCACTCTACCAGTTCCCTGAAAAACATTTTTATTCCCATGGCTTCCTTTACAATCTACATTAAGTATTCTCACTGTAGGGGTAGAAGGGAGACAATTTTTTGGTCAATCAAATGGACATGTTTTTTTTTAAGGTTGTG